CGCAGCTCAAGGAAAAACAGTGGAGTTTTTGTTGACTGGCAGAGAAATCCCCAGAGCGTTTTTCTTAATTATTTTTTTATATTTATTCCGTGACTTTTTTAAATATTCATATTTGTCAAGTTAAATTTTTTTTGTTTATTTTTTATAAAAATATTATTTAGGCTATAACCATAACAATGTGAATAAAAAAGGTCTTAAACATTATACAACATATAAAAAGAATTAAACAAATTTTCATCAAAATTTCGTACTTATTAATTTGAATTTTAGAAAATTTTTGGGTCTTCAGTTTTATTTCCCATGAAGTTTTAGCAGAGAAAGTGCATGTTTGAAACAGCCAAGAATACGCATTGAGTTTTAATATTATTTCTGTGGCCTTTTGTAGTTTTTTTTTCTATATATAAGAAGTGCAATTTGTAAAATCTGGCGTTGGTTTTTTGAAATTTCTTTTGTGAACGATCAATCAAGTTTTGCTTTTCATGGGACTATGCATAAAAATAATTAACAAAGTCTATGCATTGATTTTTTGATAATTGCGTTGAAAAGGCCCAAATTACTCTAAACCCTCTATGACTGTGGGAAATATGAGCTAAGCTCGCCAGCTGTATCTCAAACTTATTACACGTGATCATCAAATATTGGCAATAGTCTCGCACTAGTGACACAGTCTCACCGATCAGCGTTGTGGCCAGACAACATTGACACTGTGATTGCGAAAGCAAAATCACTGCAGCAAAATTAGATCAAACTAAAATCAAAGTGAACGACAATAACAAAAGACGAAAATCGGTGTAAAACGAAGCAAAAATTGTTTGCTCTGAAGGAAAAAATTTAACCGCTAGCCTATAGCTACACATAACAACGTAGTATAAATACTTAACGAAAAGAAGCAACCAACGTCACGATTCAATGGCATCGGCGACATGCAAATTGCTCCAATTATCTACATAAAAGTATTTTTTTTTTTATGTTTGTATATTTATGAGTGTCGCCGTAGCGGTTTTCCCTTAACATATACGCCTCTAGTTGCAAATCACTAAGACCATAATATGGCCAACGGCATTCAACAGACACTGACTGCTCATTAGACACTTGAGCGAGTATTTGTAGGTGAATACTTTTATATGTTTTTAAGTCACTCAAGTTAAGGCAAGCCGAGCTGCTCTGATCGTTTGGTGTTGTCGCATGCGCTGCCCATTGTTGCAGCATTGCCCTATTGTTGAGGTATGAGCCAGCATTGTTCTCTTTTACTTGGATTCCGCTTTCATGCAGCGGTTGTTAATTGAGGCTTACCATCAAGTGTACACTGGTGATCAAATGGGTTGGCATGGAGGTGTGACACCTTGTGATCGCCCCTGTAATTTACATCAATCTATGCATGGCACAAAGGTGCTGTGGGAGTTGTGGTTGTCTTTCCTATTTACACACTTATGTATGTATGTATGTATGTATATATGTAGGCACTCAAGTGTAGATATACATAACATTGTTGCTTAGCATCGAAGTACAATTAGATTACAAAATGATTTGCTTTGTCATTAACCATTCGTGCTTATTAGTTGTAGCACTGCCGTTGATCTTCGCATATTTTTGCAAACTTGCTGCGAATTTTGTGCTGCCTGAAGGTGCATATATGTAGGTATATGTGGGCATATGTACGTATGTATGTAACTGAAAGGTTGAGTTGTGATTGGTGTGACCTAGAAATAGGGCTAGTGCTATTATTTACTAACGTATTTGAGAGAAAAAATGCTGTGATAGGTAGAAAACTTTAACTGAAATGCGGCGAGTGAAGTTGTATTATCAAGTTTTTGCTACTACTTTTGAAGGTTCGGTCTTTTAGAGTCAAATTGAAATAGTGGAAGCTGAAGCCATACTTTGTAGAGAATATTTGAGAAACTTTGTATCCGTATGCCATAATCGAGAACGTGTTTTGTTCTACAAAACTTTTGGAACATCTCCTAAGTTAAACTTAACATACAAGCTCATTGGCTCTTTCCTTATTGGAAATTGTGAGAACCTACTCCAAAACGTTTCTTCAGCATGAAAGTAGTGGCATGGCTAAACTTTATTAAGGTCCTCAAAATGCCTGTTTTTTTCTAGACTAGTGATGAAATACTTCATAGCATTCCAAAAGTATTGGCCGCCATTGTGGCATGTAATAGATCAGCCTTGAATTTGAAGTTTCGAAAAATTCAATCAATAGCAATAGTAATGACCTGACAGGTCTCCCTGCAGTGAAAATTTATCAGTTGATAAAGATAGCCAAGTTGTAGTGAGCTTTTTTGTGGAATTACGATAAATACCTCACCACCTACCGCAGAATATTTGAACAAATATTTAATGTTAAAAAAGTGCATAAACATATTTCGTGCTTCAAGGCACATATCGCTAATTTAGAATTAAAAGTTGCTACGTTCCTTTTTTCGGAAAAATCATGAATTAAAATGTATCATTTCTAAAAGTATTAAGCTGCTCATTTCATTTCTTCCCCTTTATATTCAGTAAAAGGCAAATTTGCTAGGTAAAAAAGAGGCACTGAGAGTTCGATAAATCCGAAATAATACGAAATCTTTTAATTAAGACCGAAAACTTATGATTCGTATGGAGTTTTGCTTTGCTTTAAATACGCAAAACGTTTTAATCAAAATCTTGCAAAATACTTTAATAGAACTGTTATAAAATTTTTTTCCCTCCTGTAAAATTTGTAAAAATTATTGTAAAAAAAAGTAATTATATTCCACCCTCCTGTGAAGTTAGTACCGTGAGCAGATGGGAGCTTTAATCAGCTCATGTGTTCACAATTCAAGCTTTCTAAGCTTCATTCAGGCTTAGAAGAAAGCACGTTTTTCATCTTGTCATATGTGACAGGTTAATTTAAGAGGCACCTACGGTTCGGAAATACTAAGTTTTCGATAAAAGTGACTTTAAACAAGTGACTTTGATTTGTTAATGCTGCATCTTTAAAGTGAATTTGTAGTTAAAAAAAGGAAACGAATTCAGCTAGAAAACTGCGGTTTATTGCATTAAAAAACTAGATGCTAAGTACTACAAGAATCGCCAAAATAGTAAGTGGTACGTTTCGAAGCCTAAACGGGAAACTGAAAAAAAAGATCATTTTGGTAATTATGAAAGCATTTTATCATCGGAAGTTTATTTGGATATCAACAGTAGATACAATTCCAAAATTATTAAAAAAAAATTGTCTGGCTATTTAAAATTAAGCATTTGATAAATTTTCTTCTTTTAGAATCTGACTAAAAATAAGTGAAACCAGAAGTCATTTTCGTTTCCAAAAATTATTTTAAGTGAGAAACTGGACAAATGCTGCCAACACCAATTCAATTACTTTTTATAAAATTTTTTTCCGTTTCACCAAATTTACAAAAATCCACCAAAATACATATAAGGTCGTCTCGCGGAAACTTGCTGCAGCATATTTTCTATATGTAGTCAAATTGCTTGCCTAGACAGTGCTTAATACACACAAACTTATGTTAAAAAGTACCCAGTCAGCAAGATTAGAAAAAAAGAGGCCTTGGTCCAAACGAGCACCAATGCCTACTGCGATTATTGTCTTTCTTTAATTCTGGTTGCTTTGATGAACAACTTCTTTTCTGCCTTCGAATATCAGGGCGATAGGAAGATCTTCTATTATTGAAAATGCACTACCTTTAAGCATTTATTTAGAAGCGCTCCCCATTTACCGACTGGGTGCTTTTCCTTTACATTTTGTCGCTGAAGACTTGTGTGTAGCTGTAAATTTTTCGATTCCACGCTATTGTTTTTTCCTCCTTACTTTAGTTACCATTGTAATTGCAGATTTGTTATTTGTTGTAACAATGCTGCTTTGGTGCAGTTATTTGCTTGCCGAAACGCCGACACCGACGTCGACGCCGTTGCTGTTTTTGTTTCTGTTTTTCGAATTAGTTTTGACGTATACTTAGTATTTTTGCGGTCGTTCGCTGGGTAACGTGCATCACGTTCGCCGATGCAATTCCGCAGATAACAGTGCCTAAAGTTAGTGTTTTTGTAGTTTTTAGCCGCGCGCTGTTGCATAATCGCGGAGCAGCAATAGCGGAAAAAAAACGTAAAAGCCAAAACAATACTCAAAGTTCGTACTTGGAAAAAGCGCAAATCATAGCAGCAAAAACGCTAAAGTGCAGCGTAGAAAAATTCAAAACAGGAAAAAAAGAAGCGGGCGGAAGAAGCTGCAACAGCAAGCAGTCGGACTAGCGCCGCGAATGTATTTGGACAGTAAAAACAAAATGTAGTCAAACCGTGGACGAACCGCCCCCACCGCGATTTTCGTCAAGACCCATAATTATTTTGTTGGATTTTTTTGCAATTTTTTCCCACCGCAGCGTTTTGCTTTTATTTTAATTTTTTTTAAGATTTTTTAAACTTGTTGCTTGCTTTAGTTCAGTTTCTCATTGAAACTTTCAAGCAGCAATTGCATACCTGCCTGCCTGCTTGGCCAGCCAACTGCCTGCTCGCTCGATTTTGCATTGCATTCGGCATTTTCATACGCTGCGAGAATGTAGGTCAATTGCTTACCATCATCATCATCAACTTGAAATCGGCTGCACACTCCATCCACTGGCATTCGAGGAGGCAGCGCACACAACTAGTACCATTGCGACTAAAAAAATATCTAGTATACATCAAAAGCCTTCCGCTATACTATTTTTCTTACCTCTTTGTATGCTGGTCTAACCACCCAGCAACTGACATAACTCATTAGGAGTGTTGGAAGCGGTTTTTGTTTTCGCTGCATCTGTAGGCACCGCAATACCGATATGTATGTATGTATGTATTGCACTAAATTATTTAATGTACAATTATGTTTGTTTGAAATATTTGTGCTTTGCACGCGCATTAAAATACAAGACTGGGTAATTTTAATTTCTCTTACAAAAAAATTAAATTGAAATACAGCTTCTAATTAGATATTTTGCTAATTAATTTGTTTTGTTTTGTTTTTTATTTTTCTTGCAGTTTTGTTGACAAATTACTTGTGCTCAACGGTATCATCACATTGCATGTAAGTATTTGTACTATTTTTAATCACAATTAGTGAGACAACTACAATTAGTCAGACTCTTTAAGTACGACTGTACAACAATAACAAAAGACTTAAGCAGCGAACCTGAAAATATTCAGAAATTTAAAAGTTTTATTTATGCTGCTAAGACCGAAAATCTTGGAACCAAACTGCTATTGGGCAACGTAGAACAATTCAAAAAGGCTCTCATATCCAAATCGAAACCGTAGGCCTTACCTTAAGTAAATAAAATGCTTGACTCGGAGCTAATAATTGTAGTCAAGAGCTCAATAAAACTGTGGCTAAACAAAGATTTCAAAATAGACAAAAAAATATTAGGGGTCGCTTCCAAGGTTAAAATTTTGTTTTAATTCGCAAAAATCCTACCAAATGTTCACTTTGACCGGCTATAACCCCAATAGTACGTCAAATTTATCAGATTTAAACTCAATGCCATTTACGATTTAAAAAAAATTAAATTTTTTCAACGATCCCTTTTTTTTAATTTCGTGGATGCTTTGATTTTGTACGTAGAATAAAAGGGTGCACCATACAAAATTTAGATGTTGGTATTTTTAAAGACCACCCTAATGTTCATATACAATACATACAGTGACTCAAACAAGTGACCACGTGTTGTTGTTTTTTTAAATATTCGTAATATTTTTCCAGCAAAATTTTTTTTTACCAAAACCGTGTAAATCACAGTTTCAAACTTTATACAAAATTTAGGAAAATTCAACAAATTTTCATCAAAATTTCAACTTTTTATTCTGAATTTTTAGAAAATTTTTGGGTATGCGTTTTATTGCCCATACAATTTTAGTCTAATGATGTGCAAGTTTCAAAAGTTTTTTTTTTTGATTTGGAGGCTATTTTTTCGGGTTTTTTAATATAACAAGCGTAATTTACACAAGGTTGCGTTGATATTTTGAAATTTTTTTTTGCTGAAGGACGCCCGCGTTTTATTTCATAAAAAATTCATACTTATATGAAAAAGTGCAAAAATCCGTCACCAAAAAAAAATCTCAAATTGAAATAGTGATAAAAATTTGTTTAATTTTCCTAAATTTTGTATAAAGTTTGTAACTGTGATTTAAACGGTCTTGGTTAAAGCTTAGATATTTTTATGGTAAAAAAAAAAACAAACAAAAAATTAGCTCGAAAAACATTACGAATATTTCAAGAAGATCAACACGTGGTCATTGTTTGAGTCACTGTATATTGATATAATAAGGTTAGTTTAATTTCAAAGCAAACTTTCTTTCATATTATAAGATTCCGTCATTTTTTCGTTCGTTAAATTTTATGTTCTCACTTTTTGCATCGATAAAACAAACTTCTGCAAAAAAAATCAGTTTCAAAAAAAAATAATTTCTGTTCCTCTATACAAGTAACTACGGCTTGAAATGTGCCTAAAATGACCTCGTGAAGTCTATTTTATGTAATAGTATGGCCATCGTCTATCAAACGCTCCACCCACTGTGGGCCGCCTCATCGGTTGTTGTCATTGCACATGGTTCTACGGAGCCCGAGTTCATCTTCTCTACTAGCCTCAGTGCCATTCAGCAGGGTGGAGAAGTGTACCTTCCCTAATTTTAGCATTTTTTGGACATCGGATCTATGGAAGATCCTAACATTCGGACAAAAATCGTTGGTAATTTTTCTCTATTCCCAGACAGAGCACTTACGCCCTAATGGCAGCGTGGCCCTGTAGAGATATCTTTTTTTCTGCAGCTTCATGACATTGTCTAACTAATTGCTCCTTCAGGCACGCTGAAATCCCCCAATTTTTGTTTGGCGGCGGTATGTAGTGAGCGGGAAATGTAGCCCCCTGCTTGTATTTGTAAATTAGTTTGTTGAAGAGTATTAGTGTTGGAAGGCGAAGATGTTGGTTGTACTCTGTGGTTTTTTTAATATTCACATATACCGTACAATCGCGAAATTCCCTTAAAAAATCTGCAATAATCTTTCAGATTTATTTATAATGTTCAACTGATTTTTGTGTTTATTCTACCGTTTCTTTTACACACTTAAAAATACTGCTTGTTTCCGCATTACTTTGTGTGTAAATAAGCCAACTTACAGCCTCAATGTAAATTTTTAATTTGAAGTAAATTTTTTTTTATCGTTTTCTCTTTATTTGTTTTGAAAATACAGGCTCACTTAAAAAGAAACAAACGAATTTATAGCACTAATAGCAGCCACTCACTATTGTGTTAAAGGAGACTCAATACTCGCCGCTTTTCAATGTGATTGCCGATTTGGTTGAGCAGATTAAGTCTCTTTCCACCATAAAAGCAGCAGCTCATATAAGTAAATGTACAAGCACATGCTTATGCTAAAATAAGGCATTCAATAAAAACGATGCAAGAAGTGCTTTTTAGCAGCTTTACGGCGGCAGCACCTTTCCAGACATTTTTTTTTTCATTTTGTGCTCTTAAATATGTACATACATACACATACACACATATTAACGAGCGTGCCTCAGTCCATTTCTGCATAATGCACTTTAATTTTTAAGGCATACAGGTTTCGCATTTTTAGTGTTCATTTTTATTTTGGATTTCTCTTCCTTTTTCCTTTTTTTTTTCTTAAACACGACTATCTACATTGGTTATTTTTTTTCGCAGTGAAGGACGTTTTGTGTACTTTGTGCATATTGTGACTTGATGAAGTTTGATTGAGTTTTTTCAATGAATATTTTGACATATTGACATCGTGATGACTGTGATGGCTGTTGTTTTTGTGCTACATTTTCGCAAAGGAATGCGATGTATTTATGTATGCACCTTTAACGTCGTGCCTTTTTTCGCTTAATCGTGCAAGTGTTGTAAGACATTTTCACAAAGTGGCGTTATGCACACTTTTATTGGTCCTTATATTTATTTAGCTTTAAGTTTTGTGTGCGCAATGGAAGTTAAGAAATAATATCAGATTTTTTAGAAGATTGTTATATAAGTAGCCTTGAAGTAAATTAATCGTTTTCTTCTGTAGTTTGTAAATCAAACAAAATCGAGAGATCATATTCGGCGAGAAGCTAATGCCTAAATATATCATTGAACATTTTAGATCATTAAAAAATCATTACTTACTAAAATGTTTAGTTTTATAGTGACTATACTCAAAGTTAGTTGGGTCAAATTTGAAATAAGTATATAAATTTACTGCAGTCGTTCACCACAGCAAACGAGTACCTCGCCATAATCAGCATCAAAGTGAGGTTATTCAACATCGCGCTCATTTAAGCGCACGCCCTAACGGAAGCGAAGAGAAGGACGAGTCGTCCAAAGATCTCTTTTATGAGGGCGATTACGTTATTATTTAAAACTTGCTTGGCGATTTTAATGCCATGATGCACATGAAAGGTATTTTTGGCAACTACATAAGAAATTAAAAAAAAAATCTAGTAATTTATAAGGAAACATATAGTGCTTATCATAACTTTACCACACTCACATATTGACAAGTTTTGATTATTTATCTTAATATTTTTTATTTATAATTATTTTATTTTTATAAAAATATAGTATCTCAATCTTTGTGCAGCATTTAAAAAAATCAGCAAACTTTCGTAAAAATTTCGAGCTTTTAATTCGATTTTTTTGAAATATTATTTTGAGTATGCAATTTTGTAGCCCATTCAATTTTAGTTGATAAAGTGCAAGTTTCAAGTGGCTGCAAAATACCGTTAATTTTTGAATTTTTTTTGTTGAAGGTGTTGTTTATTTTCTCCATATAAAAAATCGTCTACCTTACTTTGTGTGGAAGAAAATGACTGACATCCTCAACAAAAAAAAAAACTTCGATGTAACCACCCTAATGTACATACCTTTTACCCACTCAGAAGGATCCAAGTGCGACTGTGCCATGAAAAAGCTTTTGTTTCTCTTCTTACACCTTCTCCAAACAAAGCAAATATTTTGTTGTGGTTTGATTACTTGCGAAACATTCGAAAGTATTTCGGAGGGTTTCATTTATTGCATTAATAAAAAAATAATAATCTGCAAGTATTTTTTATCAGGTTTTAAGCCGCATAATACATAAGTTTCAGTCTACTTCATCACAACTTTGGACTGTTGAAGACTGCAGTACCTGCTGCTAAAATATTAAGTTTTTTTTTCACTTATTTTCATGCTATTTATTTTTTTAATTCACTCCAAAATCAGCTCTTTTGCATACTTTTTTAATTCCTTTAAACTTGTTTCCGCTTAAATTCACTTTATATTTCACTTTTACTTAAAACGGCACCAAAGCAGTGCATATTTCCACTTGCAAATTCCTCCATCTACTCCCCATTCCTCAACATCATTGCAACGCAATCACCTGTGTTGCATTGTGCGCGCTTTTTTACTGTTGCTGGTACGTGGTACCGTGTAGCACCTTCACCATTTCGGTGCGCGCCACAAATGTGCAGGCACACTCACACAAACCCATATGTAAACTTACATAAATTCATATTTGTGTGTTTGTATGTTTGTACGCTTGTTTGCTATGCATTATCGATGGCATTGCATTTTGGTAGCGATTCTTTGGACTTTCACGTAGATGGCAATCGGGATTTGTTGCATGCTGCTCGTTTGTTGTTATTGTTTTTTATTTCTTCTTTTTTTAACTGTACAACTGTACACATGGTGAAATTCTTTATATAACGGCAAACTTGGGTGCAATCGCCCGCTTGTGCAACATAACAACAACAACAACAACAACAACAAATCCGCATATGCAGCTTACTGCTACACCTGCTGCATTGTTTTGCCCAGCTATCGGTTGTTGCAATATTTAGCTGTTGCCGTTGTGGTTGCATTTCTTTGTGATTCATTTGTGCAACTTTCAGTCATAGCTGCACATTGTGCGTGCGCACCTACCGACGTGCCTGGCAGGCGATTTGATGTTGATGTTGCATACATAAGTACGCGTCTCTAACCGTTGCTTTTGAAAAGGAAAATGAAAATAAAGTAAATCGAGTAAAGCTAGCTGTATATACACACTTACATAGG